TGTTCTTAAAATCGGGTGCTACAATCCGAGGCCGTTTCAAAATTCAAATTTCAAATGTCAGAAATTCAAACGTAGTTTTTCTTGACAAGATGATTTGAAATAAAAAAGTTGTCAACTAAAAAGTTACATAACTTTTCGAGATCTACAACTTTTGCTTTGGTCGTTTCTCCATCTGAGGATGTTTGAAAAATTCAAATTTCAAATGTGAGAAATTCAAACGTAGTTTTTCTTGACAAGATGATTTCAAATAAAAAAGTTGTCAACTATAAAGTTGTATAACTTTTTGAGATCTACAACTTTTGTTTTGGTCATTTCTCTATCCAAAGATGTTTGAAAATATCGAATTTCAATACGTAATTTGTACTGTTCGGCGTCCATCTGTAGGGGCGCCTATAGATCCAACTGCCCCTGTAAATCTCGTTTGGGAACCATTTGTAGGGGCACTTTTAAATTGAGCGGCCCCTAAAAAATGGAGGCGTTGCGAAAAATCTTTTTTGTAGTAGTGATTCTTTATAAAAAATTTCACAACTCCAAGAAAAGATGCTAGACTCCGTTTGGATCATTGAAATTGAAATTCATTCTAATAACACAATTTAAGCATAAATTAATTACGTTAAGATGACCACATGCCAAATATACTTGTATACTATTGTTAGCCACATGGGGGAGATATTATGTGCTGCACTTCTTTGCAGGGGAGCGAGCTGAAGAGCGTGCTATAAGTTGCCGAGCAAAAACATAGCGTGAGAATCTATGAAATCAATCTCTATCTCTCACCCCATGAATTAAAGACAAGCTTATATCCAAACTTTGAAAAGTTGTGAAACATAAAATTTCAAACCAAATAACGTAGTCTATAAGGAATATTCCAATTACTCCAAATTGAAAGGATCCAAACAGGCTAGAATTATAGTAATCCAATTTTCATCGAAAATCAAGGACCATCCCCTGAGGGCGCCAGGGCATCTTTCGGCTATAGGTAATAGCCACGCAGTTAAGCTCGGCTCGTTAGTCTCTGCTCGTTAAGTTGGGTTAGAAGTTGGGTCTCCAATAGTTCAGGAGACTACGGTAAATTAGATTATGCCAATCTTGAAGAAAGCTCGAAAAAAAGTATTGTTGGCTCGTTATCCACCGCTAGCCATGCCGGTTCCTACACGACATTGTTGACTCAGGTTTCCGTGATGTTTCTAGTGTCTTTGGCTTATACAGTGATACATACGCTTCGGTATTACACGTTCTATGCAGTCCATCCACACGGATATGACGGCTGGGCCTCAAATATATATCTCGTATAGTCCTAAATCTCATTAGCGATGTATATCAGTTTGCAAGCTGTCCACCTTAGCAATGCACGTTCACATGTAATTAAAATCCACTAGCATATGCAACTGTGATGTCTACGTCAGCAAGGCACACAAGCATTCGTTGTCCACATCAACATGCACTAGTAGAGAACAGAGCTTTATTCCCGGTGGGGAACCCCCTCTAGTCCCGGTTCCCCACCCGGGAGCAAGGAGCCGGGACTAAAGGAGGACTTTTAGTCCCGGTGGGTAACACCAATCGGGACTAAAGGTGACTCCTGACATGCCACGATGGCCGGCACCTTTAGTCCCGGTTGGTAATACAAACCGGGACTAAAAGTTTTTTTTTCTTTTTTCTTTTCTTTTCATTTTTTTCTTTTTTTTTCAAAATAGGTTTTTGAAGTCGTATTGTACGCTACTAATTATACATTTATACGCGCGTATAGTATGTTTCGGTTCAAGCACAATGAACGTATTAAATCACACAATTCAAGCATAGAAAAATATATATATATATATATATATATATGCATGCATGCATCATATATATATTTACATGCATGCATGCATATGTGTATTTTACATTATATTATTTCATGTGCATATATTACAAAAGATTGCATTACAGTTGTTGTGATATAACAAGTTTCCTCTCATCCTCTAGCTTGGCTTCCATGGCAGTGTTGGGTCGAAGTAGAACTCGCTCTTGGAATCGATGACCTGCTCATTAAAAAATCCGGCTACAGACTCTTGAATTGCTTTGATTTGGTCTTGCCGTATGACCTTTTTCTCCAACCATCGAGCCTACAGGTTTGAATTAAAGGAAAATAAATTAATATATGTACATACATATATATATATATATATAAAGACATAGTAACACAATCAATAATAATAATTAAATGAATATATAGTGTATTTTTAACGTACTTTGAGTCTCTGTAGGAGTTCTTTGGGAGACCACCTTGATAAACTTGCAAACATAGTAACCACAGTAGTTGCTCCCCTGTTCCTGCCTCAGACACCACTTTACGAGAAAAAGATTTGTCATCCAATCTGGTGATCCGGTGAAAGCTATATGTTTAATTAATAAAGATGATGCGATTTAGGGGACTTACTTTCAAACGGATTACATTAAATGACGCTTTGCATTTTCCCATGTGTTGCTTCTCAATAAAGGTTTTCCAAACACTGCCCAATAAAAAATTTGCCACGTCATCGGATATAGTTAATCATCATGTTTGTGTGTATATATAGTTGCTAGAGATACCGAAATTACCTCTGGATAATATCTATCATATCATGATAGTCTTGTTGTGGTTTTCTCATCGAGTCATAGATTATCAAGTGACTTTTTACCAGATCGATATCCATCAATATCCAATGATTGCTGCATGTGTTTATAGGATACAACGCATAACACTCATTAATTAACTAGAATCAACATATGAGCCATTAAGGATGATCGACATTATTAACACTCACTTGAAGTTGTAGGGAAAGAGTATATCCTTCTTGTGGCGTTGGTTTACTAAGAAGTTCATGAGGTTACTCTCTGACTCAGACTTCCAATTAGGCTTTGGAGTAACTGGGTCTTTGAATACTATATGGGGATCAACAAAACCAATTTCATTGCAGCCTTCCTTTCTGAGCTCTGTCATTGTAAATCTGCATATATATATAGTACTTGTTAAGATAATTTATATGCATATACACACATATGATGAGTTTAATAATAGATCAAAAGAATTATTAGTTACAGGCAATAGCAGCTAATGATAACTTTATCCACTAGTATTAATTTATAATAGTTTATTCTTCATATAAGTAATTATATATAGTCTAATTTCATTTTAAATCATCCGCAATTTCCGCAACAGCGCGTAGGGTATGCTTCTAGTTGTATAGAAGCGTAGAATCCATAACTCATAATCCTAAACTCCATTAGCGATGTATCTTAGCATTCAAGCTGTCCACCTCAGCAATGCACTATCACATGCAATTAAAATCCAATAGTGCATGCAATTGTGATGTCTACGGCAGCAAGACACACAAGCATTTGTTGTCCACGTCAACATATCATGTAATCCACTAGCATTAATTTATAATAGTTTATTCTTTCATATAAGTAATTACATATAGTCTAATTTCATTCTAAATCATCTGCGATTACCACAGCAACGCGCGGGGTATGCTTTTAGTTAGTGGCGGATCTAAGATTTTACCAAAGGATATGCCGTGTGAAAATTTTGACATGCATTTTTGTAAAAATCCATTTAACAACTCGGTAAAAAATTGTAAAATTTATAACTCAATTTGGTGTATAAGGAATAAAAATATGACAAGTCTTCAAGTTAAAGATTAAGATGTAAAATTGCATGAACTACAATACATTCACATGTCGAGGGTATATGAATGTGCGATGTAAAGGAAAAAATATGAACGGGATGAAAAAAGTATGCAAACTAAATGGTAACTAAAATCTGTCACAAGCAGAAATAAAAGATGAGAGAATATCTGTAAGAGTATTACGTTAAATTAATACTAGTATACAAACTAAAGGCTAACTAATTCTGTTTGTAGGATACCCAGCAGGTACAACACCACTGACCACTCGAACGCAAGACACCACAGTTCAGGAATCTATCACTACTACAAAAAGGATTTTTAGGGGCGGCTCCAGAGGCTCTGTAGGGGCGGTTTGCCCAGCCGCCCCTACGCAAGGGTCTCTACAAATCATGTATTTGTAGGGGCGGTTCCCAGGCCGCCCCTACAAATCGATTTCTAGGGGCGGCTGTTGTTTTCAGCCGCCCCTACAAATCTATTTGTAGGGGCGGTTGATACTGTAGCCGTCCCTACAAATCGATTTATAGGGGCGGTCTGGGAACACCAGCCGCCCTTACAAATCGATTTGTAGGGGCGGCTACAGTACCAACCGTCCCTACAAATCATTTTTCTGTCAAAAAAAATTAAATTTACAATTCTTCAATGCGACAACATGCGTTTCTGGTTTGGAATAAAATGATGGTTCAGAGTATGCAGCTGATGGACTAACTACTAAGAACTAGAATCACCAGAATAAGTTAACTAAGTGTTAAAGAACTGATAAGCTCCTTGGAACTGCCAACAATAATGTATACGCAGATGAAGTTGAACATACATGAAAAAAGAATCAAAGAATGTTAAAGTAATGTGGCATGCACTGCAAAATAAAGGTGTAGGCATGTAGGATTCAGATGAGTAGATCCACAACATACACTGGCACTAGACTGGCATGCCAATCATTCACAACAAACATGCAATTTTGTCCATAAATATATCCTCCCATCCGTACTAGTTGACCTTGCTTACGTGATCATCTCGGCGAGCATTTCTCCACCGGACGGCACCGTACTTGGCCAAGGAAGAGCTCCGATTCTAAGAGGAAGGGAACACGGTCTTCCACGACCGTTGCCGCTCTCCCTCGTAGAATCAAAGCTCCTCCTTGACGTCCATTACCGCTCGGTAGAGAATATGCTAGCCGAGATGAACACGGTCCGCAAGTTCAACTAGTACGGATTTTCTACAATTTTCTAACTAAAAAGAGGTATCCAGATCACAACCAAAAAGAATGTTAAAGGCCTTGTTGTTCCAAATACACTGGGAATGTCAGACAGAATGGAAAGGTATCAGCTCCTGCAAAATGAGCTATCAGCTCCTTCAAGGCTTAGCATTTATCTTGAACCATACCTTGTTGTACTGCTCCTGCAAGGAGCTATCAGCTCCTTCTGAACCTGATCCAATTGCCTTTGCATTGCATTGCCAGAAGGTTCCAGATGGGTCCGTGTAGTATCTGCAGCACACATATGGTGAACCATGAGAAATAAAGTCCAGTGGCCTTGTGTAAATTGATTATGACAAAAAGATCTGCCTCACAACATAGAGAGATAAGGATGCCATGATTGCAAAATGAGCAACATATACAGAGGGGCCTGCTATAAGTGCCTGGTCTCCACTATATTCCACTAACTAAAATATATGCCTTAGCCAACATGTATACCGAATAACTTAGTTCAATGCATGATGTAGATAACCATTGGAACAATCTTGGTCACAAGTTCCATGCCTTCCTGTTTTTCCATTGGAACAAAACCATCTAGTAGACAACCATAGTTCATGTGAGTCAAACAAATGGTAAGCCCACACTCTGCAGCAAAAAGACATCCACTAAAAAAGGCGTTTACCATGACGATCTAAAAAGATCCAACAAAAAGCAAATGTGATGCATGATATGATGATAGTAAAATGATTTTACAGAAGAAAACAGAAGTAAAGCAACCCACATTACCATGACAGCCTAAAGTCTAAAAAAAGGCAACAAAAAGCAATTTCAATGCGTTATAGCACAATAATTTAGCATAAGAAAAAGAAGTCAATCTCCCTAGTTTAAGAAAAACATGGATTCTGAAGACTGCAATTAAAGAAAATCCAGTTCAGTGAGCTAAATGGATCAGCACTTACAAGCTAGGTCCATTCTCATCATGTCCAGCAATTAGGAGGGAGACTCCAAATGGCCGTGACTACACAAACAAATAAGTACATCAGAACGCCCACTACACGATACATGAAGTGATTACAACTTAGCACACCCCTCGACGAGCTATTGGGATGGAAATATAAAAGTAGATGTGTGTTGCAGGAAACTGTGGCTGTATAAATGCTGTGAAAACTGAAAACTAGTAGTGGGTTGGCCCTATCAAAATGGTTGGCAAATGGGGAAAGTTTTCGGTTTGTAACTCTAATGAACCTCAACAAAAACAATTCATAGGTCCATCTTCACCATTAGGCCCTGATAAGATAATATTTACACATGAAAGAGCCAATGCAGGCAAGATAGGTATATAACAAATACTCATCATTTCATAAAAGGTCATTAGTGTTTGTTATATCTTTTCATATTCATTATGGGAGTAATAGGGCTGACCAGTTATAAGAACACCTAAATGTTGTACTGGATTCAATTTCCTCCAGTCAGAAGACATTTGAAAACAAAGATATTGGTGTAAATCCATCTTATATTTTGAAGTTGAAGGAATGAAATATAGTCTGCAGATAATTAATCTTGCTTCTTGCGTTCTGGAGGCTATAGGAACATAAATGAGGCTAACCATTGACTCTTCATCACCTTCGCCAAAGCGCAGAGCCAAGTCACAGATAGCTTGTGTAGAAGATTCTACGGTCATTGGCTCCCCATATGAGAACCTATGATTCTGATTGTAAACATGTCAAGTCAGATTAACAGAGAAAGCTCCCAAACATGTAAATAAATATGTATATGTATATAACCCAGAAAAGTACCTGAGTCTCAACACGAGCATGCTCCACTAGCGTTCTAGCATCAGCAATAAGTCCACTCATGGCACAGCCTATGTGCTCATCAATTTCCATGATTTTCTCCACACTGCTTGGTTCCTATAACATCAAAAGGCAAAGGAAAACTGAATTCATTAACAATTTAAACATGAAACAACCTATAGCATGAAAACCAGAGGCTAAGTGGAGCTGCCATTTCCTCTGATAAAAACCATTCCTGTTATCATAGCACAAAATTGCATAAAGTTGAGCTCAAACTCTACGATTGCATCAGCTGTAGGTTAAAATATTGCCAAAAAAATGCAGTAGAATGAGGGGCCACACAACTTTGTGAAAGAGGAGCTAACCTAAAGACCATAAACCTTGTATAAGAAATCACAATAATTCAATCATAAACGTTTGGTCAGCAAGCAATGTTCCATTGTTCGAAATTTAACATCCCAATCTTTGCCACCATACAATCAAGCCCTAGTACCAGCTAGGGGGAATGAAAAAGTAACTCAGTAAGTACCAGCAGTGGAGAGGTCACACGTTTCTCAACAGCAAGGACAACACCATCCTTTGTCTTCAACCCAATCGCAGTGGATCCCAACTGCAAGAGCAAAGGGAACAACAACATGAGCATCACTTTGTCACACAAAACCCACATAAATCTCACAAGTAAAGGCCTGGCAAATTGCACAAAATTCAGTACAGCGTGTGTACTTGAGTGCAAGTGCTTGTCCTTGAGCTACTTTTTCTGGTTAGTAATGCAATGACAATCCGGTGCTATTGAGGAAAATAGAGCATGCCATCACATGTCAAGCTGAAACTGACATAGTAATAAACTGACTAGACACAGAACCACAAACCTTCCACAATCCCAAACCTCAACTAGTAAGATCGAGTGAGCCATACTCCTGACTTCATCCTATAACACCCTCAACTCAGAAATCCCAGCAAATCTGTAAATCCTAAAACCCCCCAATTGCGCCCTTTCAGATTTGCGCTCACGCAAAAACAGCTAACCCCACAAATCTAGACTCGTCGTCACAAAAGTCCCCACCAGCCCGCACAGGCACCCAGCATCTCGGCGTCGCCACTGTGTTAAAATTCGATCCGATACAGCACGTCGCCCTTCCGATAGAACGCTACGAAGGGAGGCAGCAACGAGAGAGGGGATCTCACCTTGATGGCCTCGATGGCGTACTCGACCTGGAACAGCCGCCCCTCCAGCGAGAAGGTGTTCACCCCGCGGTCGTACTCTGTCCTGCAAAGACCCCCAAACACAAAATGCAAACGCGTCAGCAACTCAGCACACGACGTGCCGCCGCCGGCAGACTGAATCCAAAGGGTTTCAAGGACAGAGGGATCTGAAACCGGCCAGTCACCTCGTGAGAAACATCCTCTCGGTCGGCGACTCCGGTGGCGGCGGATGCTGGATCGAGCGGGACCTCGGAGCCTCTCTTCTGCTCGCCGAGGAAGTTGAAGCGAAGAACATAGGCGATGGCGGTGTGGGCAGGCCGCGGTCCGTCATGTATATGGGGTAGGGTTCCAGGTGTGGGCGGCTCACCTTGAGGGCGCCCAGATCTACCGGAAATAGAAGGAGCCGAGGAGGCCATGCCCGGACGCCCTCCGCGCAGCTCAGGCCGCCAATCCCACGGATCTAGCCGCTAGGACCTCAGATCTAGTCGCCACCGCGCGGATCGAGCCGCCACCGCGCTTGTAGGACCGCAGTCCGGTCGTCACCGCGCGGAGGGGAGGCGAGCCCGGACCAGCCACCACCGGATCCGGCCGGCGAGCATGCGGATCCGGTCGTCGTGAGACCTCGCTCGTCGCTGGCGAGCGGCCAAGGGCCTGGCGAAGCCCCTCGGCACCTGGCGTAGCGCGGGGGCGGCGAGATAGTGTGAGAGCGCACGGGGCCAGCAGACGTCTAGGGGTGGGGCGGGGTACCTCGGATAAACGGCCGCAGTTCGCACAGTAGGGGCGGTTCGTGATTGAGCCGCCCCTACAAATAGAAATACCAGGGGCGGTCGGTGATTAAGCCGCCTCTATAGATCCGACCCATTTGTAGAGGCGGCTCGTATCACCAGCCGCCCCTGCTGTTCCATTTGTAGGGGCGGCTGGTCTCGTGGCTCTCAAACACGCCACTGTAGGGGCGGCTCCATCACCAGCCGCCCCTACAAAAATTTTGTCCCGTTGCTAAAAATCGTTTTTCACGTAGTGTATTGCTATGAACTTTTTTCCAACTGTTGTGCCACACTTTTCTGCGCAACAGCCAATAGGTCCATGAGTTGGCCTGTCCAGGCCGTCGTCGGAGGCTCAGAGCTGAGCTGCAGGCGCTAGGTCAGCCACAGGCAGGTGAATCTTACTTGTGCAGGCCGCGCACGCTACACTAGATGAGTTCCCTATTACACATGGCTGGATTGTTAGACCCGCTACTTCTTCTAGTGTCTATATCATCGATATCAACAATATTTCGGACTCTACGTGGCTTTGCCGGTTTATACGTGTCTATATATTATCTATGTACGGCAACAATATTGCTGGTCTCTCTCACGTGTATATTGGTCCACATATGTCTATATCATCTATACGACTAATGACAAATCCTGGTGTCTCTATGGTCCACACATTTTTTTCCATACGAGAAAAGTAAGCATGGGCTTCAAACTAACATCAAACTGTACATGTCTATACCATTTTTTTCTCTATGTGACTATGCCAAGTCCACACACATGTTTATATGGTTCATTGATACGGACATGACTTTCCAAGTGATATTCCACACACATGTTTATATAATTCATTGATACGGACATGACTTTCCAAGTGATATGTATAAGTCGATGCATGTATATACCATGTTGTTGACGCCGATTCGGGTCACACAGCGGTAGGGGCTAGATCATCCAAGGACACACACGGCCTTGATACGCAGCAAAGGGAGGTCCCAATGGCAAGGCCGACTAGCAGGTCGATGAGGCCGATTAGACACTCCTTCACCCAAAAAAAACTCACGAACGTTTCCGGGGGAAGACCCATCGGGAAGACACATTGAGAGTCATAGGATCGGTAAGGCCACCCTGGTATATCTCGTCAATAGACCTGCTAGTCAGTAAGGCGGTGGGAAGAGCATGCGGTATAAGATAAAAAGTAGTGCTAAATTGATTTTAACAATTGGTCTTCCGTCCCCTCAATCGGTCACTCTTTATATTTATAGGACAGCTAGTCTTTCAGTACATATACAATAGCCGAATTAAATACATATACCTAATATTAAAGCGGTAACATTTCTCTCTCACTTTTTCGTCCACCTCTTTCTAATGGGCTTTGCTATGGTACTCCCAAATAATTCTGAGCCATTCATTTAATTAGATCAGATGGTTAGAATCATCTATTCCCTCGTAGGACATAATAGATGAAATATTATTTATTTAATTTTTACTTTTGTAAAGTTGGATAAATTAGGCAAGTTTTAGGTGTGAAAATCTTTTTTCTAGACTAGATCTAATTGACACTTGTGGAATCTATTTGATGTGGTGAATCTTTTTATTTTGTAGCTTTGGCCATGATATAATTTGATTAGCATAAACTGCCCATTCTTTTTTGATGCACGTAAATTTTTTGGACATGACATAATATTGGTTATGGGCAGTTGACATTATTGCAAAATCGCAATCCATAAAAATTAAAATGATAACTACATCAATTGTTAAGAAACTTCTAGGAAAATTAAAATGAGTCGGTGAGTCGCACTAATCGTCCGCGTGCACTCCCTAATCATGTGGGTCTGAATGTGTCACACCCGATTTTAAGGACAAAATCGAATGTAGAATCCTATGTGTGCCCAGGAATCAGTCATACACATAAGACAACAAATTACAATGTATCATCACAGATGTTTATTACATCTCGAAAAATAAACCATTACACAAGCATCAAGTCTAATATAAAAGCGGTAAAACATGATAACTACTCTCCACGAGAGCCTTCAAACTCTACAGGGATGGTTGACTGGTGAACCACAAGTCTAGTAATCCTTAGAAAACTCAACATAACCGACATAATATGTTACCCATCCGGGATTTTTGTCCAAGTAGTGAAAATAAACAAGCATAATTACATCTCATACTTAACAATTATAACATGGGGTTCATGAGGCTCAAAAGCTGAGACACATGTTTACAGCGTTAAGCATTTTAATGAGTCAAATTTTAGCATTAGCAACAACAAGTTTAGCAATGCCCAAATTAATCACATGGAACTGATAACATGAATAAAGAAATAGCATTTAAAAACATCGTCGATCATTCGTCATTATTCAATAAGGTGTCCAGGCCACTCGTGACCATGAGCACGGTTGATACATCGGTTTTACACTCTACAGAGGTTGTACAACTTTACCCATCAGCCATGATTTACCCTTTCGCCCGAGGTAGCTAGCCTCTTGACCCACTTCCTAGGAAGGTCGGCAGGGTTCACTATGAAGCCTTTCAAAGGTTCGTCTAACAAGTAAGTGGCCGCTAGGTTTCGATGGCAAGCAGGTGTAGGAACCCTCCTTTCGAATGGCACAATTCCTTCTCGGCTATTCTCATATGAATAGATGTTGTCTTGTACCCGTCTCAGCAAACCCCTTTTGCGCCTTTCGGTAACCACTAACAAGCTAGAAAAGGTCCTTCTATTACACTAAAGCCAGAGCCATATAGCACTCAAGGTTGTACTATAAGTCCCAGGTGATCACTTACAGATAAGTCCCTAGGGACGACAAGACCATCATGTATAAAGCCAAATGCTCTCACCCTTAATCAACTTCCAAGTCATAGTTCCTTAGACATAGGTAATGCCTGGATCCTATTGGCGTAACTCTTCCTACTAAGAGCATCTGCCACGACGTTTGCCTTTCCCGGATGATAATGCACTTCCAAGTCATAGTCCTTAACCAACTCCAAACATAGACGCTATCTCAAGTTCAGATCTGACTGAGTGAAGATGTACTTCAAGCTCTTATGATCCATATAGATGTCGCTTTTATGACCAATAAGGTAGTGTCTTCATATCTTCAAAGCATGAACCACTGCTGCTAACTCCAAGTCATGAGTGGGATAGTTTAGCTCATGCTTCCTTAGCTGCCTCGATGCATAAGCCACTACTCTTCCTTCTTGCATAAGAACACAACCCAGACCTTCACGAGACGCATCACAATAGATGGAGAACTTCTTGCTCAAATTTGACAATATCAACACTAGAGCTATAGTCAATCTCTTCTTCAACTCCTCAAAGCTAGCCTAACACTTCTGACCACACAAACTTGGCATTCTTCGCTAGCAATGCAGTCATAGGCTTGGCAATCTCAGAAAACCCTTCAATGAACCTCCGGTAGTATCTAGCTAACCTAAGAAATCTACGAATCTCACTAACATCCGTTGGCGGTTTCCAACTCAACACATCATTTACCTTGCTCGGATCAACTGTGATTCCACCATTAGAGACAACATGGCCCAGAAAAGAAACTTCCTTCAACAAAAACTCACACTTGCTTCGCTTAGCATAAAGCTTGTGTCCCCTGAGTTTCTGTAAAACCAATCTTAGATGTTCAACATGCTCTTCCTCATTCTTGGAGAAGACCAATATATCATCAATGAACACCACAATGAACTTGTCAAGATATTCCATAAACACCTCATTCATCAAATACATAAAGTATGCAGGTGCATTGGTCAGTCCAAATGACATAACTGTGTACTCATATAACCCATACCTCGTAGTAAATGTTGTCTTGGGTATGTCAGTAGATCGAATCTTCAGTTGATGATAACCAGAGCATAGATCGATCTTGGAGAATACGCAAGCACCTCTCAACTGATCAAATAAATCATCAATCCTAGGCAATGGGTACTTGTTCTTGATGGTAACCTCATTAAGTGACCGATAATCAACACACATCCTTTGAGTACCATCCTTCTTGTCAACAAAAATAATAGGTGTTCCCCAAGGCGAAGAACTCGGATGAATGAAACCTTTCTCTTGCAGCTCCTTTAATTGTTTCTTCAGTTCTTCTAATTCATTTACCCCCATTCTATATGGTCGCTTAGCTATAGGTGCAGTTCTAGGTAAAAGCTCAATAAGGAATTCAATGTCGCGATCGGGTGGCATACCTCGCAAGTCATCGGGGAACACATATGGGAATTCATCTACAACTGGGTCTTCTTTCCTGGCGCCATCACCCAACTGGTTCACTGGGGATGTCCGCTACTCTTGCACTGCAACTTCAAAACTAATTCTATCCCCCTTGAGTGTTGTCAGAGTTACCACTTTCTCTTTGCACTGAACCATAGCTCGATGTTGCTTCATCCAATCCATACCCAAAATAAAATCAATCCCAACAGTTCTAAAAAAATGGGCTCACTTGAAATTCTAGCCCCTTAAAGAGAGTTGAACTGTGGGACAATGGAGAGTAGCTTGCATTCCTCCACCAGGTGAGTTGACTAAGAAAGGATT